ACTAGCACATCAGCCAACACTGTGTTGAGTGGAACTTCGAGTGGGACTAGCTCACCCGTCAACGCTGGATCCGGTACAACCTCTGGTGAGACTAGGACATCAGCCAACACTGTGTTGAGTGGAACTTCGAATGGGACTAGCTCACCGGTCAACGCTGGATCCGGTACAACCTCTGGTGAGACTAGCACATCAGCCAACACTGTGTTGAGTGGAACTTCGAGTGGGACTAGCTCACGGGTCAACACAGGATCCAGTACAACCCCTGGTGAGACTAGGACATCAGCCAACACTGGGTTGAGTGGAACTTTGAGTGGGACTAGCTCGCCGGTCAATGCTGGATCCGGTACAACCTCTGGTGAGACTAGGACATCAGCCAACACTGTGTTGAGTGGAACTTCGAATGGGACTAGCTCGCCGGTCAACGCAGGATCCGGTACAACCTCTGGTGAGACTAGCACATCAGCCAACACTGGGTTGAGTGGAACTTCGAGTGGGACTAGTTCACCGGTCAACGCAGGATCCGGTACAACCTCTGGTGAGACTAGGACATCAGCCAACACTGGGTTGAGTGGAACTTCGAGTGGGACTAGCTCACAGGTCAACACTGGATCTGGTACAACCTCTGGTGAGAGTAGCACATCAGCCAACACTGAATCTGTCACAACCTCTGTTGATATTAGCACATCAGTCAATCCTGAGTTGAGCAGAACTTCCGGTGGAATTGTCACACCAATCAACACTGAATCTGATACAGCCTCCAGTGAGAGCAGTACATCAGCCAACATTGGACCTTCCATAACCTCCAGTGGGACTATGACATCAGCCAACACTCGACTCAGTACAACCTCTGGTGGAACCATCACATTGGCCAACACTGGATCTGTTACAACCTCTGGTAGGACTAGCACGTCAATCAACACTGGATCAAGTGAACCCTCTAGTGGGACTAACACACCAATCAACACTGAATCCAGCACAACCTCTGGTAAGAGTAGCCCATCAGCCAAAACTGGATCCTTTATAACCTCCAGAGGAACTAGCACATCAGTCAACACTGGGTTGAGTACAACCTCTGACAGGGCTAGCACATCAGCCAACACTGGGCCGAGTGGACCTTCCAGTAGCTCTGCCACACCTACTCCAACTAGAACCCAAGTAACTTCCAACAGGATTAGCACAAGTGCTGCCACTTCCACTAATGATGAGAAGCCTAGTGGATACCTGAAGCCATGGGAAATCGTCCTCATTACGCTGGTTTCAATTATAATGGCTGTGGGACTCTTTGGTGGTCTCTTCATCTGTGTGGTGAGTGTCTAATGTGTAGGGAAATGCCTGGGGAAGGAGCAGCAAGAACATAAGAGAATGGGGAAGTAAGAGAGATAAGGAAAGATTTGCAAAAGAGAAATTGCAAGTTAGAGCCAGAGGAACTAGTCAATATGCAGAAGAAACTATTGACTTGAAGTAAAAGGAATAAAGACTGGAGGAAAGATACTAAGTGAGGGAGATGGTTGGAAGGAGAGGAGATTCCAGAAGGAATCCAAGGTGAAGGCTTGGGAGAGAGGAGTGCAGTTCTAAAACTATTCATCCTTCTTTTTCTAGAGAAATTTCCTGTCAATGAGAAATGCCTTCAACACAGCTCTTTACTATCCTCATGGTCCCAACCTTGGCTCCGGTCTTGGAGGAAATCATGGAGTCCATTTCAGGCCTAGGTGGTTCTGGAGGAAACCATTATCTTCAGTAGCCATGGAGTTGAGTGGACGATACAATCATCCCTGAGTGGGCCCTGAAGCAACCCCTGAAGCTAGAGTGCTCCATTCTTCAGAAGCAAAACAAGTTGGGGGACCAGAGACCAGAGTTTCCTTTCATTCATTTCTAGGAGTCCACTCCCAGTTTTGTTTGGTTCTCTGATAGTCCTAGGAAAAATATTTCCTCCTTTTCTCTTGATTTTACCAGACATTGAAAAGAGAGCATACACAGGTCATTTCTCAAAAAAATAAACCCATCCAGTATGTATGGTGTGAGAACCTGTGTGTACACCTGACTGCATGTCTCTAGTTCTGAGCCAAATTTTCCAGTCACACAAGAGAATCCACATCCAAGTTCACTTAGTACTCAAAATCTTTACAGTAAAATCCAGACTTCATTCGTGTCTGTCTCCATGTTCTAGTTCTGGACCCATGACTCATACAGGATGGCAGAGGAGCTAAATGGAGAGATATAAGAAGGAAAGGCAGGTGCCTAGATTCTCCAGGTTAGGGCAGCACACAGAAAGCCCAGAGTGTGATGATTTGAGTAGGTGCAATTGCATATGGGGTGGTACATGTTCCATAAATACACAATTCCCAGGGTATTTGCATCTGCTTCAGAACTGAGCTACTTATCAAAGGTACTGGCTGACACTCCTCTTTCAGAGTGCTTCCTGTTCTCTCAAGGGAAGGACTGTCTGACCTACTAAGGTCTAACCATCAAGAGGTACATGACATGAGGAGTGAAACCTGAGAGTCTTGTGAATTCCCAACCAGAATGATGACATGTACCCCTTTCATGGATCCTGGGGAGGGGGCTACCTGGATTTATTGACCTTGGAGGACAGAAGGTGAGCTGCTTTGGAAGGCAGACTTGCTCCAAATCCAGAAATGGTGAGGGGACTCCCACAGGGTCTGAGCCCTCAAGGGAGAATAAGCATTTGCAGGTGGGTTCATAGCAATTGAAAATGCTACACCTTCTACAACTCATTGAATTTCTCAAGTGTCAACAAAACAAACAGTTAGACCTCCTCAATGAGATTGTGCTAAGCCATGAGCAGAGTAAAAACAAACAATAAATCACCTCATTTAAAGAGACTTAGCAACCAGAAGGAGAAACTGAGTTGAACACCCTGAAAAGGTGCCTCCCACTGGTGTGAACGATGGAAAGAATAAATGAAAATAAATAAGATCAGGCACAGGAATACAATTAGATCGTTTAAGAAAACAACTTACAAGGTGCATTTTTCAAGTTTTAAATTTTGAATAAGTTGAATAGACAAATTGAAAGAAGCTGGCCACTGTTCAAAATGAAATGACTAATCTGGAAGACATAGTTCAATTAGATATAGCAACATGGAGATGAATACTGTGAGAAAAATAGACACTTGCAGGGCTGGTAAGGATAACTAACATGCAAATAATAAGGTTCAAAGGATAGAAGACAGGAAGCAAAGAAACAATAAAAAAGAAACATTTGAGTCTACAGATAGAAACAGTTTTCCAAGTACAACAATATACATGGGGTTGTCAACTGTTTAGGGCTTTTTTTCATGTGATATGTAAATTACATATCAATATAGTTGTTAAGGGGTCCTAGTGTGGCACTGTAGAATAAGCGCTGAACTGTTAACCACAAGATGGGCAGTTTAAACCCACCAGCTGCTCCTTGGAAACCCTATACTGGGTCTCTATGAGTCAGAAATGACTTAGAGGCACTTAACAACAACAAAGGAACCTTAAGATATTATCAGGCATATCTAGTAAATAAAATTTTTGATTTGCAAAGATAACAACAAATTAAAAAACAAATGATTAGGAGTAGTCCTTTGGAGATGAGAAAAAATGGAAAGGGAGGAAATCATGGTGAGCAACTTTGCTTGTAATTTATTCACATGGCTATGCTCTGAATCGGGAGACAGATGAGGCTTTCTGCTCCCGTAAAGATTTATAGCCTCAGAAACCCTGTAAAGGGTCACAATGAATCAGAACCGACTCCATTACACACCACCACCACCACGGCCATGCTGCAAATGTTTCATTACTTTCAGTAACTGGAGCATGTCCATGGAGTCGTGAAGCATCATTGCCCAGCCCTAGTCATGGAAAACACTCACTCCTCCAACCTGATGAAACCTCAACGCACCAAGCACATTTGACCCATGTAAAAAGTCTAGTAAGTGGACAGGATCAAAGTGCTGCCCCCTCTAGAATTTGTACCATTGCACTGTTGTTCTATCTAGCACAATGATCTTCAAATGGCCTCTGTGCCCTCATCCTCTTAGAGGTACACAAAGGCTTTCCAAAGAGTGTTATGCCGACATGGATTATTTTAAGGGCATCAATTTCCTGATCTTCAACTTTCATATACATATTTGCATAAAACTGATCTGCCAAAGAGGCCCTCTGAGGTTAGGGCGTAAGTCAATTATACTTTT